GGCGAGAGGTTAATCAATTGGTGGAATTACAGAAGGATGTGAACATTAAGGGTACAACTTGGCTACTGGAAAAATACAAGGACCTGACTCAACCTGAAACCCTAGAGATTGCTAAAAAAAAAGCTCACAGCACTGGCTACTAGGCTAAGATACACTAGAAAAGTAGACGCCAAGAAGATAAATGGCCTATTCTCCAAAGATCCACCCAAGGTATACTCCCATCTGCAGTGCAACAACTGCAGCATAGCCATAGCAGAAACTCAATGGTATTATAGGAGCACATGAGAAAAGGAGAAGACACATAACACTAGTAGAAAGTGGCTGCAGGACCTGAGAACAGACTTCAGCAACCTCCCAGAACAGGAGCCTGTCACCATCAGAGTAGCAATATCCAGCAGTGAGTTAAGAACCTGAACAGCTGGACAGCACCTGCCAAACATAACATCATTGGCTAAAGAAACTAACACCAGTGCATGAATGCCTAGCAGCACAGATGAACCAGATGCTAGCAGCAGGTTCCCACACAGACTGGCTAACTCAAAGGACGGTGCAGTTCATGAAAGACATCTCATAAAGGAACAGCACTGTCCAACTACTGGCCAATAACCTGCTTCCCCACAATTTGGAATGTCCTATCAGGCATCTAGTTGCTAAGCTACATGACCATATGGACAGTTCATGAGCACAGTTCAGAAGGGCATTCGGAACAAAACCAGAGGATCAAAACACCAGTTGCTTGAGCAGTTGCCTAAGACTCAAGGTCTAAATAAGCCATTCTGAATACATCCTAGATTGACTACAGGAAAGCCCTCGACTTAATGTCACACACATGGATCTATGAATTCCTGGTGCTATGTAAAGTCAACAGGACACTGAGGACCTTCCTCAAGAACTCAATGGAATTGAGAAAGACAACACTGGAAGCCAACTCATGGCAACTCATAGAAGTGGCCATCAAGTGCAGCATAAAGCAAGGTGACTACACCACATGTAGCCTTGTTTTGCAACAAGCTTTCACCCCCCCAGCCAGATAATTACAAGGAATGGATATTGATACAAATCCAAGAGTGGAACTATCACCAGACATCTCCTCTATATGGATAACATCAAGCTAAGAGTGAATAAGACATCCATTCACTGATCCAGTGGACACAGATATACAGCAAGGACTCTGAGATAATATTTGGACTGGAGAATGAGCTGGTAGTCAAGAGAGGGAAAGTACCTGATGAATTAGGAACTACCAGTGGATCAAATAGCAGACATACAGTCTAGGCATAAGCTTGGTATCTACAGTCACATGGGAACCATGATGAGGAGTCAAGGAAGACAATGATGTCCAACTATTACCAAAGAATAAGACAGGACTTGAGCCAGCTCAATGGAAAGAACAAGATCCATGCCATCAACATGTATATCCTGCCAACATTCCCTTTCTCATGCTCTGAGTACTTTTTCCATTTTCTTTACAAAATGTCCAATTATTAAAAAGAACAGTTGAAGCAATATGCTATTTTCTGCCATTTAATAAAAATGGCAATGAAAACACATTTTTCATTTTTCAAAATATGCCTACAAAGGGTATTTAAAGAGGAAAATGGATGTAGTTGCAATGATAGTCATTTGAATAGCTGGTTTTTGCCTACCTTAGGATGTTTAAAAAAGTGAGTAACTTTCAAAAGGTGGAAAACCCAATCTTGTTGGACTTCCAAATGGCTTTAAAGACATGGCTCTTCATTGGGGATACTGATGATTGATCTACCTTCAGTGTATAGTGCAGGTAGAGGATGTTTCTTGTTTATATTATTGTTTGAAATGTTTTGTTGCTGTTTGGAATTAAATGGCACTCAAGACATGTATGACCACTTGTTCAGTGACTGTTCAAAGTTGTGATGGCACTGAATGAAGGGGACTTATGAGGGGCCGGTGCAGCATCCCACTGAACACATGACTGTGATTTGGGCCCTCGATGCCTGGCTTGCAGTTACAATGTTGTAGCAAGCTGTGTTATATGATTGTGATTTTTGATGTTCCATGCCAGCTTTCCACAAACAATGTCAATAGGGAAACTGATAGGAAATTGGAAATCACTCTTGCTTCTTTTTTGCCTGCCCATGCTCCCTGAGTGGCTGCCCACAGGCCCCCTGTGGCTTAAACGCATCCATTCCATAACACCTGCTTGTGCACTTGCCCACACTCTGAAACACCCTGCCATGCCATTCCCATCTGGCCTACATGTCTGCAGCGGCTTCTGCCTATTACCATTTAACAGCTTGCAGAGTCCTGGGGTTATGACGGTAACTGGGACTGCTGAGATTGCTTTTGCTAAGCCGTCATCAGGTTTTATGACTGCACATGACATCAGGTTTTATGACTGCATTGCTTAGCAATGGCAATGCCATCACAATCAAAGGACTACCTGTAATATTTAAGAATAATGGTTGAGGTGAACTAGACAGTTTGGCCATCTTGCTCAATATGCGATGACCTGCAATGACAAACTAGAACAAGATATCCCTCCTCCATTAGCAGCTGGTATAAAAGACGTCTCAATTGTGATTCCAGCCATCAAACAAACAGCCATCAAGATTCAATATCCATTGATAGCTCAATCCTATTGAATGGCTTTATACATTTAATAAACTATCCTGGGCATGGCAAAGGGAGGAAAGATCTATCACAATGCAAACTCTGAAATTTACACAACTATGTCCAATACGGAGATACAAATATAATGGTGCTGTTTGCACTGTGACAATATGATGCATGGTTTTATTTATTCTTAAAATTTAATCAATTTGTATTCTGCCTTATTCAAAAAGTAACTCTAGGTAGCATATAGCAGAGAATTAAAATAACAGTACAGTCTCAAACAATAATCTCACAGACATCAGAACAAGATCCACTAACAATTTAAAAATATAATCTAATTTATCAGGGCAACATATTATAGTCCATCTAACCCATTGCCTGATGGAAGAGCCAGATGTTAGCAGCTCCAAGTATACTCCTGATTATAATTCAGTGTGATGTCCATCTTGCTAATTATCATGAGAATCATGTAAGCTAGGCAGGTGCTGAAATGTATTTGATGAGATAAATGTACCATTTCAGTAAAAAAGCACGGTTAGCTGAGCCTGGATGGACTCATTTACAGTGTCTTTGCCACCTACTGCCATCCTAGACAACAACAGATTGGCCACAATGACCTATACAATACACTAGTAATTTCCTTACGGGATTATGGCAATGCATAAAACTAGTGTTGCACTTGAATACAGCCAGGAAGCTTCAAATATTGCTGAATGCAGGGTAGCTAACAAAAGTTAAATGGAGTGGCCAGGTTGAATTGCATTACAATGATTGATGGTGCTGCACTGCCATAAGTACTTGTTTTCAAGCACAATGAAAGGTGCTTATTTTCAAAGACTAATGGCTAGTAAGCAAGAACTTGAGGGAAGCATCTCCCTATAGCAGTCTGCCTTTCCTTGGGATCTGGTGATCTCCCTTTTTCAAAATCGGACTGTGTTAAAACAAATGGCTTTCTTTGCTTTGGCCCAGGAGAAGCTGCTCAGCCTCCACAGAGAAATGCATTTGAAATTTGCTTTTTTAAGATTTATATCTTGCCTTTTTTTTTCCATTTACACCTCAATAGGGCAAATGTATCTAACTTACTCCTACTTTCCTCACAACAACCCTGTGAGGCGAATTGGGCTAAGAGAAAGTGGCCCAAAGTCACCCAGCTGATATTTCATACCTAAGATTGGACTAGAACTCAAGTCTCCTGGTTTCCAGGTGAACCATTTAAGCATCACATCAAACTTGCTATTTGGGGGTGGGGGAGGGAACATTGGAGTTCTGGTACACTTTGGAAGCCAAAAGCATCCAAATATTCTGAATTGCTAAGTAACTCAAAGCATTATTAGCTTTGGAATAGGTCTTCTCTTGGTCACTTATTATTTAAATGTATTGGCCACATAACTCCAGTGGACTCTGGATGGCCAATAGCAATAGTATCGCTACCATTACCCTGGTACTGTAGTGCTATAGAAGCAGACGTGATGTTACTAAAAGTACCGCAGATCAGTCAGAAAAAGACCCAGCTCAAATCCATCGGACGCGATTTCTAGATTCAACAAATGACCAAAGTCAAGTCTACCTTCCCCCTTTGGTGCCACCCAAGCGAAAAACGCCGTGAGAAGCATACAGCTTTAACCTGACGGTTTTCTACCTGCCGTGGGAGGCTTTATGACAACCCCGCTAATCGGTTTGCGGAGCTCTTCTGGCATCCCACCTGGGGGGGGGTCTCCTCCTCCCTAGGGAGATTGTGACTACTCCATCGAAGGCTGGCCAGCCTCGCCGCCCGTCCCCCTCGTCGTCCTCCTCCGCTGCACGTCAACATGCAGTTCTTCTCTGCGCCTGGCGCGCGTCTGCCTTCCACGCCTTCGGCGCGCAGGGTGTGGAGGGAGTGGCTTTGGAAGCAAGCGCGCGCGCGGGCGAGCGAGCCTGCCAGCCAGCGGCCGGCCAGCCAGAGAGCGGCGCTGCGCTTCAGGTTTGCCTTTTTTTGCAGGGAAGAGCCGGCTGCGGATCACCTGCAGTAGTGGGGGAGCCACCGGGAGCTCCACCCCCGCTGTCCCTGTTAATCGCAGCCCTCTCTTCCCTCCCCGCTTTAGTTCTTCCCCATGCACTTGCACCAAGAAACCCGGGCTGAGCTGCCATTCTGCTGCAGAGAGGGAGTGACACACGTTCGAGCAGATTGGGCTAATCGACCGGCTTCGGGCTGCTCTCTCACTTTTTTTCCCTACTGAAGGTCCAGCTAGGCTTGGGAGCCTCTCGCTCAGCTGCAGACAGCGTCCTCCCCACCCCACCCCTCGTCTCCTCCTCCTCCTGCTTCCGTCCCGCAGGGGTGCCTCTCCTTTTGCAGTTCCACACCACCTGCCAGCCCGGGTTCCGGAGGCAGCAGCAGCAGTAGCAGCAGCAGCAGCAGCAGCGCCCGGGAGGCGAAAAGAAGGAGAGCGGGAGATCGCCATGGCTGAAGTGGGCGAAGGGGAAGACGAGATACAGTTCCTGCGAACTGTAAGCACTTAAGCGCTTCTCTTTCCTTTTGGCGGCTCCGCGTCCCCTTCGCGCATTGTTCATAGGTTGGGACGGAAGGGTCCGAGGCGAGGAGCAGATGGCTCGCGCGACAACCCGTTGCTAATCGGGGAAGCTCGGCGCTGAGGTTGGGGTTGGGGTACGCGGTTGGGGGGGGGGGTAGGGAAGTGAGACCAGCCGGGGATCTCGGGAAGTGCTGCATTAAAGAGAGTTGATGAATGA